CTGCCTGCCTGCCTGCTTGCTTGCCTGCTTTCCTTAACGCCCGCACACACGCACGCAGATACAGCAACTATGGAGGCTAGTGGCACGGGGTGACAGGCGTGCAAACCATACACGTCAAGGTCATCTGCGTATGGCAATTTATTAGTGAACGCGCCGGGACCACGCGCACGCTTGACAGCCAATGCAAGGGCTGACACGTACAGACGCACGAGTGAATGCATGAACGACGAAGTAAACAAACAAACGAGGCACAATCGATTGACGTGTTCTGTGTACATTAATTGGAGGAAATAGGATTCTTAGCTTGAGGCTATTATGTATCCTACAGTGGATAAAACGTATTTGTCTAATGAGGCGAGCACCCTACTGAAAGACAGTCGGAGTGAAAACCTCAGAAATAGGCTGTACGTGCCGACCCAAAAGGTATGCAATCATAAGGGCGGAGATGTACTGTGGCAGAACTATTACATATGCAGAGAATGAATGATTAACTGAGGCACGAAGGCTGTTTATTGAGGTTATTCAGGTAGACAACCAAACATATGACTCATGTGAAGTGATCTAGAAGTTGGACAGGAAGTGAGAAAAGTTGAATTTCAGTCACAAACTGGAAGCATCAAAACTAGGTTGAGGCACATCAAAGGACGCAAACAAGAGGGTTTCCATTCACCACGCTGTCTACGTTCCATATCGAGATTTTCCGCTGATAAGATCGTAAATCTGACGTACAAATATAATACCAATACTTTTGCTAGTAATCACCTAGATGTGGCCACTAATCATTACACAAAGTCGAGATTCAATGGCAGACGCTTGAAAACCAGTAAGTGAAAAGGCTTACGAAACATGACAAAATAAATTAACTGATAAATACTAACTCTGCAAGTATCCAAAAGTGAATGCACATATAAGCTGCCAATAAAAGTGATTCGTCTTGTAGTTTATAGACAATTGAAACATAATAATAGAGACTGTGCTGCTTATAAATTGCGTTAATGAAATAACATCCGTCAATTTAAAAGTAACGCTATGTAAGAATATTATCACCCTTTATGGATCAGTTATTGGTGTAGCACTGAACTTTCATATTACTGATCTAAAGCAATAGGCTGTCTTTCTTCTACCTTCAGGATGGTGCTACCGTGCTCTAAGATGTGCCATTAAAATAGCAGATACATACGGTAATAACGCACCTTTATGCATGCGTAGCTGTGGATCAACGTAGCGAACTCCATTTCCGAGCAAATCCGATATTCCGCTTTCGAAATGATGCTAATGAAATAAACAGCTTAAGTGCTTCATTGCAACCACTAGTTTCTTGAATCAAGGCCTAGCATCGCTTTTAAAACCGCTAAGATTAGAAGTGCAATCAATTAGTGAGCTTAAACAAAATTATTGAAAGGGCACAAATAATTGCCCTGTGCCATAAGGTCAGCTACCATCCACTCTACATCTGCGAATAATTTGGAAAGCGCAAATTAGTAATAGCAAAATATAGAGGAATGATACCAGGGAACAGCAATGCCAAAACTCTACTAAACCGCATTTTGGTTTGCTCTAATAGGGCAACAATTGCTCTTTAGCTGCTTTAAGCTCGTTTATCAATATTATACTGTTTAATTAGCCCATCGATTGTTCCATTTGGTGGTCTAAAGCTTGATAAGCTCCTACATGGAGTTCGTCTTCCTTTGAATATTTTATGGACTCAAATATGCACTATGATACATTGTTTATGTAACCGTATGACGTTTGACGGTCACTTTAGGATGTGTCTGGCTCTTTTACACGTAAGCTGACCTTGGGCCATGCCCAGGCCCTCTTGTCCTGTCGTCTTCAGAATACATTTATGTAGCTGCACTTACTGGCTCCTTACACTAGCCAGGAGGTCTAGGGACGCCATATACATAAAGGAAGGAGCAGATTATGGTAAAGTAGTAAGGGCAAGCTATATCTATTTTTGGGGCAGTCTAGGTCTCCTCAAGCATCGCGCTTGAACTGAGCTTTCACTTCTCATCAACAAGTCAGATAGTATTGACCTTTAGCATTTCGAGACTTCTCATAGGGTAGAAGATGGCAGTAATTGAGGTTGGATACATGTATTCCGACAAGGACAGACCAAATGGGCCTGAGAAGGGCCCAAAGGCCAGCCTACAAGTTTAAGGACCAGAGCAATCCCTAATTGACCACCGAACCTCAAGTAGTCACATAAACAAAGCATTACATGACGATTACAGCCTGTTTTCGACCAATAAAAGCGCAATTCAAAGCTAACTTTGACACTGGTAAAATGGAGTGACATCATCGTGTTATGCTTTTGGTCATTTTGCAAGGCTGAAAAACCACAACCACCTCTGTGAACAATTTCTCGATAAAGAACGCTTTCAACCTTTTAGTTTTAATATTTTAGAATGGTGTTTATCCATCTTTCATTACCTACTGGGAAGTTAAAATATGGCCAAAAATCTTCAAAATGCTCTCCGGGCTTCAAAGAGCATCTCAATTCGATTAAACTTCATTTTGTGACATCGTCCCAGATACTACCATAACGGAGTGATGGACACTAACTCAGAAGAATGCTGCAGCGTGTAGCTTGAGGCAAATAATCTTTTCGATGAGAGCAACTATAGTGTTTCAAGTCATCTTACGAGGTAGAAGAGGACACGAAGTGGAGCTGAATGCATTTATTCGAGGCAGAGTAAAGGGTTTAAGCCAGAGCTTGGCCCAAAGACAGCCCATGTGTACAAGGACCAGAACAATTCTAAAGCGACCGCCAGATATCAAGTGGCTACATAAACAAAGCATTGTAGAAACCATCTATCTTGGAGCGTGATGTCGAGATGTTTAGCAAAGAGGGTTCTGCCTTCTTCAACCAGCAGGAGACGCTCACAATGTCGGAGCAATAGAAGTAGCTCACGACCCAGTGCTGCAATACCTCACCAAACTTACCCTTTCTCACGTGAGTGGGTCAGATCAGAGTTTAGCGGATATCTTTTGCCAGACGACTCTAAATTATGTGTTAAAGAAAAATTTGGGCGAGAAGAGTGTCTTCAGACTTACACTTGCTGCTGCCGGAATCAGAGCGATGTGGTATGCTCTGCGATCGCACCTGTGAATGTGCGCATAGACAGCGGTGTTAGCACGGAGGGGCTTTTACATTAGGACACAGAACTTTTCACACTCAAGGCTGAAGAGACAGTTGCGTAAGTAACAAGATCATCATTAAAAGCTAAATAAATGAGGGTGACAGAAGTTGGTTGAGACGGCTAGGTAATGCCGATTCAGTCAACCTGTCAGGATAAATCGTCACCTCGGAAGAGAGATGAGATTGTATTGAGCAGTTGGTAAGTAATGACTTAGCCATCAGCTTCAGATCTTTGCTATCTTTGATTTATATGCATTTGGCCGGAGTATTGTGTATTCTGTTAATAAGAGGGCGTCTCGATGAGCCACAGCGGTGCTTTCACAAGAGAGAATAAGTGAGGATGGCATTTATCTCCGGCGTCCACTGCATTTCTTGATCTTTGCGCTATAACTGCGCAGTCTCAATGGTGTAAAAACTCCACATACTCTCGTCCCTATGAAATAAGTTAAATCTCGGTTTGTCTATTATTGTGAGAGGCGGGAAGGCATTGGGAACGTGGATCAAGCGCGTGAAGTCGGAGAGGACCCTCCGTCTCTTCCTCACCTCATATATATCCTACCTCCCCATCCTTCCTAACAGCGATGCCTAATAAATCCTCTACAACTAACTTCCTCTTGAAGTCTGAGAATCAGGGACCAAAGGGTAGAGAGGCCGTAACTACAATTATGATACTTCTTTTGAACTAGTATTCCAAAGCCAGTGGGCAGCATTCCAAACCCTAAATTCACTTAGTGAACCAGCAGTATCGCCTTGAGGGATTGATAAGTTGTAATCAAGCATCTTTTAAGCTGAAAGGCAAATCCGAGATTTTTTACTTTCGCATTAATAATAATGCGATTCATTAAGTTAAATACGTACGGAAGGAGTGACGAATTAATTACCAAAAATGAGACAAGGGATCTGTATTGTTCCATTTTACTGCCATTAACGGCTGAAGCCACGTCTTGGAGCATAATTTTTTCCCAGATAAGCTAAACTGTTGAATATGATCCAATTAGGCGTATATTGTACAAAGCAAAAACTTGCTCAACTACTATTAACCAAAAACAAATGTGGGACATACAAGAGACAAGGGGAATTCCAATGTAGTACATAGTTAATTTATTATCCCGTCTCCGTCATTGTCTCACTTTTATTGCTTCTATCTGAATGCAAGTATTTTAGTGATGTCAAATGTCATCTGCTAATAAATGAGTACTCTGGCCGTTACACAGGTTTTACCTACGAAAAAACGAATGGGCATTCGCTATCGCAAACCCGCTTGGTAGGTCACCTGTGTAAATGACAGCCACAAATTGCGACCACATTGCTTCTGTGGGGCAGAGTGGGTCTCAGTGCACACCAAATGATCCAATTCTGTCTTTCCACTCTATATGCAGTTATCCGTTTAAGCGTTATGACTGTAATGCTTCGTTTATGTGACTATCTGATGTTTAGTTGTCACAGGGATTCTTATGGCATTTGTACTCGTGGGCTGGCCTTAAGGCCAGCCCAAGCCCAGTTGCCCTGTCGTATTCAGAATAAATGTATCCAGTCTCTCTTACCGCCTTCTTCTACCCTGTGGAGAATTATGCGACGCCACAATGAGCTCTGGAATTTAATAAAAGTACCTCAGAGCAGAATAGTAAAAAATTAATGGTTTGTAGTTTAATGCACAGAATTCTTATATTGTACTCTTACTAATAAGATAAAATACAATCATAAAAGTAAACCTTTAAAGTACTTCTTAAAAAGAATCCAAAAAGTTGACAATACAAATTAGTTTTCTGCACTACCAACTTACTCTTGGTTATATATTCTCTCCTACTTCAATGTGCAATTTTTATTTTTGGAGAAAATTCCACCCGTTTGATTAAACTTATTTGAAAAGCTGACTGTTTGTTTTATTCACCCGTCTTTTATGCCCAGTTTTTGAGTCTGGTTTTGCGGTGAACCAAATGTTTGCACCTCCGGGTTTTATGATGCTTCCCGAAAAGAAGCCTCAATCTAAAGGTTTCCCGTATGATCTTTTCGAAAATCCATATAAATGGTACGAGTCTTCCATTACGTTACGTTGTCTAGGTCCCTGATCAAGAGCGTCGGTCTTTACGGACTTAGCATTTTGGGATTCTTTGTGCTCAAATCTGGTATAGACACTCCTCTGGAGACTCTGTAGACGCTGGAGTATATGCAAATAAATGCTCTTTATCTCTTTTCTTTTTTGACGTTTTGACCATTTTGCAATGTTTAGCATGTGTTCGTGCTTAGGATGGCGGAACCAACCTACCTATCCCCTTCCAGTTCTCTGGAATGTTGCCGCCTGCGTCTCGCTAAGCGACGTCGACGTCAAACTCAAATTCGACGACTGATTTTGAATCATTTAAATGGGGACGCAAGTGTGCTGTCTGACTCAATTCACTGTAGCAATGGTTTTGAGGAGGCGTTACACCAGTGTGCTCTGTTGAAAACCCTCAAAGATCGACTCAAATATAAGTCTTTTGGAAATGGTTCCTTCGATGAGTCGGCTGCGAAAAAATCGCTGATTTTGTGAGCGAAATTTCCTTTGTTTTCTAGCGATAGCTTTGATGACTTTCGCTACTTCAATATGATGTCTGTTAATCAGAGTTGTTCTATTTGTTTCAGTTGATTAAATTGAGTTTTTCCGTGTCGCAACTTTTTAGCTCACTTTGTCACGCTCTAAATACCATCAAACAGATTACCACTTTTTTTTCAACTGTTCTCTTCCTCAAAGGGTCATGAAGTCGGTCTTTTCCAAAAGAAAGGAGATTACGTTTTTTTGCATTTGTGCTTAATGCTAAGGCTACCTGCTAGTAAAACTTCCTTGGGTGGTCCAGCATTTTGCGTATTCTCTCATTATTGCCGTCTTTTATCAGCCCAATGCTGCGGACTATCCAACCATTGCGGCTCTCTAATTCCATTCTGCGTCTCCTACACCAAGGTCTCGATGGGTTACCGCTTTCCCAGGGCTACAGTTTCAACAAGGGTCGTCTAGTTCGTCGAGGTGGGGAAAATAATGCTTCTTCCTTTCCTACTTCATCCTCCGATCTCTCACGCAATCCGGATTCAAGGGAGGGTCTTTATCTTAGCACTTCTACTTTCCTCAAGGGTACTCAGAGCGCCAATCCTCATAATGACTACTGTCAACACTTTGTTGACACTGGGAAACGACCTCAAAATTTCATTCGTGACACTGGTAAGCTCTGATATTTGGATGTCTAATTGGTCTACGAATCACGACTTGTGTTCTTGGGTCATCCATGATCCAAATTTTATGAATGTCTTGTCTGAATCTGAAATCGTTTTATTACCGTGACTTCCGTCCCTTTACGCTTCGTCCTCGTGGACTTTAATCAAGCGAAAGTCATGCTGGTGATGACGTCGCTAAAGTTCCATTATGGAGAGAATTGGTGGTGGCACATGTTGTACACTTGGTTTGAGGATTGCAAATGTCGCCATGCTTGTAGAACGAACTCTTCAACTAGCTGTGCTATGAGAAGTAATGCTAAAGTCTCCATTCACTCGGAAGGGACTTGAAGGAGAGGATTACTGTGGTGTTCTTTTGGTTGGTCTTGCCTCCTCCCCGTCACTTGTCACTGACAAAAACCAACAGTAGCGAGTTTACGAACCTAATTGTTTCTAGTGTTAACAACAGTTTGTAGATGTTTAGTTTTAAACAATGTTCCAGTGATTTACAATTTCCATTCAATCGAATTGCTCTTCCAACCATCCTGAAGGGCGGAGGGTCTGCAAATGTCGAAAAAAGCCCTGTGATGGGTGAAATTCATTACTTTCAGGATTGAGGAATCGTTTTGAGGAGTACCCGAAGTTGAGAGAGTTAATTCGCCTCAAAGACGAACTTATTCAGTCGCGAGTCACACCGCCCATGTACCTCCGGGTTGATCTCCGTACATTTAATCTGCAAGATCTAAATTCCGTCTTTGATGTCATTTTGGTGGAACCGCCACTAGATCGTTCTTGGTCATGGCAGGAGGTACGTCAGCGAATTTTTTTCTTAATCCAGTCTAGCCCTAAAATTTAATGTGCCTTCTTTAGATTGAGGCGTTGGAAATCGAGAAAATTGCTGCATCACGCTCTTTCATTTGGATTTGGTGCGGAAGTGGTGAGGGTCTCGACGGAGCCAGAAGGGTGCGTCGCTTCTACATTATCAGTAGGAGTTCTAATTAGCTGTCTAAGAAAGCAAAAATGATCTGGTGCACTCTTGCTAGTTTCCACAGCCTCCCTCATTCAGGCCTCTTGGTGCCGCTGTGGGGAGGAATATCCTGTCTTAGAACAGGTTTGATTCATTGAAATTTGTTTAGTGCGTTGTGTGACTGTCCTTCTTTTCACATTTTCAACAGTGTCTGAAGAAGTGGGGCTTCCGACGCTGCGAAGACATCTGTTGGATAAAGACAAATAAGACACGACCCTGCCACGAGCAACTGGAGCCGGGTGCAGTGCTTCAGCGCACAAAGGAGCACTGTCTCATGGGCATCCACGGCACTGTGCGTCGTTCCGTCGATGGCGATTTTATCCACGCTAACCTAGACATCGATCTCATCATCAGTGAGGCCAAAGTTCCTGGTACCTATGGGGATAGAGACAAACCCACCGAGATCTTCCACATCATCGAACACTTCTGCCTTGGTCGTCGTCGTCTCCACCTCTTCGGTCGTGATAGCACTCTCAGAGCCGTGAGTCACTCTTCGCTACTTGCATTTTTTGATCATAATGTGCAGTTTTTATATCATTAAAGGTGAATTGCAGGCACTAGAGATCTTTTAAATTAGACCGTGGCTTTATTTTGCCTAGATGGTATAAATCTCCGAATCAATGTGCTTACCGTCTGGTGTTTTTTTTTGCATAGATTGACGATTTATTAATACCGAACCCTTTTTCGATAGTCGCGAATCCAATTCTCTTCATTACTCTTACCCATTTTTCCCCAAACTTATGAGTACTCGTGCTCGAATTCTGTCGTTCACTTTGATCCAATCGAAATAGTCCTCATCTTCCCCATCAAACGCTCCCCCGGCTTGGTGTAGCAAAATCCATCCTTTCAAAACGCTAGTCAAGAATAAAAGGTGTCTTTATGTGTTGTCAGTCAACTTTCTACAGTTTTAAAAGGGTGCGCTCTGTTAAACGCATATTGGCGTGCAAATACTGGGACATTTGCATTATTAAGGGAAACCTGGAGGAAGCTGGATAAACTTAGTTCATCCATAAGACGTTTTGGAAAATAATTACTACTATATTGAATAAAGTAATGAGTATATTTGCTAATTGTAGGGATGGTTGACTTTGGGGAGCGAGCTTTCGGCGAGCAACTTTGACTCACAAGTTTACACGAGCTACTTCACTCGTGAACCCAACGGTCACTTGGTGGGCAGTTCAGACGAGATCGAACGCCTACGGCCTAAGTCACCCCCTCCAATCGCTGCCGTCTGGCACTCGGGAAGTGCGAACACTATGGGGCAGCAGGCATCGCGAACGGCTCTCTCGCAGCCTACCGTTACTCCTTCTCTTCTCGGCAAACCGACTGCCTGTTGCCTCCAGCAAGCTCTACCACAGGCACTGCCCCACCATCGAGCAATGGGTGCTGTCGACCAGAGCGCTCTTCTTAATCTTCTCTCTCTCTCCGCGCAGAATTGCCTCACGCATCCGCTTTTGCCATCCCTCGGTAATCAACAAATAAACTCTGCTAATTCTATTTTAGACTCAATGCCTTGTACCGGCTGTCCGTCTTTGTTTGTCTGTAGTGGGTCAGTCGCCACGTCCGGAAGGTGGTGTTTCGACGGAAAACTTGGCCTCCCTCCAGACAGCACTCTTATTGAGGCATCCCTCTCAGAGCCTGCATTTGCAGCTGGCACCCACTTCTAGCTGTCTTGGTGATGGGGATAAAATGGCCCTTGCGATGCAAATGTTCGCTGCTGCCGCCTCGTCCCTGCAACCAGGTGATCTCCGCAATACCACTGGTCCACCTGTTCCCTCTGCATTCAAGTGATGCCTTTTTCAGTGACTCGTATTGGATGTATGCACGTATTTACCATGACATCAGGCTTGTTGCTCATTCATGCGACTCATTTAAAGTTATTTTTGTAAACGTTAGTTCTTGAGGCTGAGGCCTTAATGAGCGCCACAGTTTCTGTCCAAGGGTTTCTTAACATTTGACCGCTTTTATGAACATTTTATGCCGCTCCTGTGCATTGTAAGGGTTGGATTTGAAATGTTGAGTTTTATTTTCTCAGCTCCTTTTTTTCGGAACACTGGTTGAAATGAGGTTAGCTGACGGGTCTGTTTCAAGGTGTCAGACTCACTTACTCTTAGCATCAGAGCCGACTTGGGTAGTGGAGAGGTAGCAGCAGTGGAGAGTTTTGCCATCGTAGTTGGCAACCGGAACTGGCGTAGCTAACTTCACAAAGTAAGCAAACATTTTCCGTTATTGTTTCATACCAAAGCAGAGAGGCGAAATAGAAATCATTGCGGTTTGTTTATACGTACGAGAAGGCGTTGCTGGTGATAGAGCGGTTGTCATAGGTGACCCGTCAATGGTGTGTAACACGGTGTATTTTGTCTCTACAATGCTATCGTTTTAGCCTCTGGGATTCACTCCTTTCACTACACTAATGTCGAGTATATCTCCTGTTCTCTTTAGCTTTTTTAAATCTCTG